AATTTTAACAATGGCTGGGTTGTATCTCAACCCTGACATTCTAGGATGCTTGAAATGTACTAAATACGATAAATTACCTCAGTTACGATAGAATTTTCAGGTAAAGAAGTCGGTAAGTGGTAGATATGCTAACGAGGATGGGCAGGGTTGTCCATCATTCCATTGAGTACTTGGGCAGGGTTGTCCATCATTCCATCAAGCACTGGGGGCAGGGTTGTCCATCCTTCCATCAAGCACTGGGGTTTTTGTTGGCTGACTTCAGTTTACATCGTAATGGAATATTAGTAAAGCTTTACATGTACTATCATGTGACCCTTATTACAGTATTATGCGGGGAGCTATTAGGCCGGCGTGGCTCCTAACACCCACCGCTTCAACTTCTCTTACTTTAGTGAGCAATAAGTTGCTAATGATGAATATGGTGTCTGAAGATGGTGTATTCTCCATGGGAAGGCCTCCTCCCTGTCAAAATTTACGCGCGGCTATCCTTCCGATTTCGGTTGCGACTCTCGGATTAGAGATGAATCAGATGCGAAATGGCCGCCTCTTCTATTTAGCCGCCAAATAGGAGCTATTTTGAGTAGTTTCATGGAAAAAATATAAGGGTCAAATGACACACGAAATCAGTGGCTGGTCAGGCCACCATTGGCTTACCCTGCTCAGTAGCTGGCACGAGTTTTTAACGCGAGCGTGCTTAGAAGTTCCCGCCATGTCGGGTTATGTGGGGGGTCTACCTCCCACACCCCCATCCGGACAGTGCATTAGCCGTTGCAGCAGCCAGCAAGTAAGGCGCCAGTTTAGAACTAACCGTGAGTCAGTACGTAGTGAAGAATGCTCAATGCTTATCGAAAAGCTATTGGCTATAGTTTTGTTTCCTTCAGAGAGCTTTAAACAATTTGATGGTAAATACCATTGCACTTGTAGACATTGGACGAAAATGAATATTTTGAGTGCTTGTGGAAGTCCTTGATTTCGAATTGTTTGGAGATCACTTCTTTCAAAACACAGTTTTTATACGATGCAAGTATAGATTTGAGTTAACTGCTGCTCATCAGCCTCATTGGGGCAAAGTAGACTTAATAGAGATATTTTTAGAGTAATTTAGACTCTTCCTCAAGTTCAATTTTGAGTCCTGTAAGCAGACCAGTTATGTATCATGAATCCCAGCATTGCTGCATTATTATTCATAAGATATTGGTTTAAAACTTGTGTAGATGAGAAAATAAAAAAAAACAGATTGTAAAGAAATGGATTCTTCAATCTTTGTCAGTTATTAAATTTGTCACTTTGAACTTGAAGCTATAGCTAACACTTACTTAAAAGCCCAAAAATTATGTATTGCAAAAGTCATCTGTTAATAAGAAAATACCACCTGTTTAATGTGTATAATCCTAATAATTTTACCTGTATTAGGCTGTATACAAATTTGGAATACTGTCAACTGGGGGCTGGGGGCCGGGGCTACTCAGGATGATTTCGAACGTTTTTCATTCATAACTTCTTACCATGAAACATTTCATAAACAAGTTTAGGCTCATTTCAAGCTCTTTGCAAATTGCAAGGGCTATCACATGGCTTCTCCAAAAAAATTCCATATGCTATTCGTAAGGTGCCAGATGCAAAATAAAGATTGCCCCAAGTAGCCCCGTCGGTCGGGGTTACTCGGGACAATGGGAATAAAACTTCATTTCAAAACATTTGAAGCATGCAGAGCGTACTCATCCATTACTAACAGTACTCTGAAGTCCTCCTCTTTCATTGTAGATGATGTAGATGTAGAATAATTTATAAATGACATTTTCTGTGATTTTTACTTGTTTTTCCTTTATTGATATGATATTACCATAAACATTAATTACCTTATTATTGATGTGATATTACTGTATTATTGATGCAATATTACTGTATCCATGACCATGAACATGCCATTAAGCATTTACAACAACCTTGTCCACTGCAAGCTTCATATCAGCAGCCCTATAGCATTTTTTCTGTAGCCTATCTGTAAGCTTACAGGACAGCTTGTAATTTCACACCATTTTAATTGGATTAAGTGAATTTACTATAAAAAAGATCGTGAAAAACATACCCGAAACAGAAAGGAATGTTTTAGTGACAACCATCATATGTTTTGGAGAAATAAATCATAGTTTAGGTTAATTACTTTTCATTCTATGTTGCCTGGTGCACAATTCTATATATGACATTCTATGCACAATTTTGTGCTGACCGATGATGCACTAAATTTTTGATAGGTGAAATTTTTCTTGCTGAGCGAGGTAAATGTAATCAATATTCTCTGTTTTTAATCAATTTTTTTTGTAACTGGAGCCTTTGCTAACTGAGGTTCTACTGTAAATGCATTTTTGGAGGTGTCCCGAATTGCCCTGTGGGGGTGTCCCGAGTAGCCCCGCAGTGCAGAAATGGCCACCATTTTTTTTTTGGATTGAGGTATGTAAACTCTGCAATTAAAGTTTTCATGCTGACACTTGTCTGCCACTTTTTTCTAAGCAAAATTTTTTAATAGGGCAAATATTTTTTTACTACAGACCTTAGCAGAAGTAACTTTTCAAAATATCGTTTTTCAATATTTTTTTCAGGAATTTTTCAAAGCTAGTAAATGTAGTATTTTTGAACTTCCTTTATATTGCCGTACATAGATAGGAAAAATGTTGACGTTTACGCCACTATACCGTCAACTGGGGCTATTTGGAAGGGGCATGGTAACTCGGGACAGTCCTCCAGTCCTCCGACACGGCGTAAAGCTGTTTTAGTAGCAAAACTAATTGGAATATTGCCAAACTAAATATAGTGGCATAAACGTCAGCATTTTTCCTATCTATGTAGTATAAAGGAAGTTCAAAAATACTACATATACTAGCTTTGAAAAATTCCAGAAAAAAATGGTGAAAAACAATATTTTGAAAAGTTTCTTCTGCTAAGGTCTGTAGTAAAAAAATATTCACCATATTCAAAAATTTTACTTACATAAAAGTTGCACCAAGGTGTCATTAATTTGACGGTAATTAATTAAACATTAATTACCGTCAAATTAATGAACAAAGGCCAAAGTCACTCCGGCGTTTATGACCTTTTTTACGACCCCGTTTTTGTTTGCAAAACGAAATAAAAAATGTGGCCAAAGTCACCCCAGTTGACTGTAATTAATGTTTATGGTAATATCATATCAATAAAGGAAAAACCAGTAAAAACCACAGAAAATGTCATTTATTCTACCTCTACATCATCTACAATAAAAGAGGAGGACTTCAGAGTACTGTTAGTAATGGATGAGTACACTCTGCATGCTTCAAAATCCCGAGTAGCCCCGGTTGACGGTATTTAGTTTTGCAATATTCCAATTAGTTTTGCTACTAAAACAGTTTTACGCCGTGTCAGAGGACTGTCCCAAGTTACCTCGCCCATCCCTAGTAGCCCCGGTTGACGGTATTGGGCAGAACTCGTAGAAGTTTCAAGAAGTTGCCGCCATAGATAATTATTTACAAGTGATTTTTAATATACTGGATAAATAAGAACTTTTTTCATTTCTCAGTGAAGAAATTGGGTAGTCCAGGGTGCAGAGGGTGCAACTCCGTGCAAGCAGCGTCGCCAAAATATGGAGTTTTAGCCTAAAGCAAAAGCATTGCCAGCCATTTTCAGGATCTGTTGAAAAGTAATTTTTAATAAGAAAGTGCTGCACACAACTTTGATAGGTACATATAACCTTACTTTCCAGTCTCCACAAACCAAAACACTTGCATACCAATACCAGTACATCGCAACTGATTTCCAGGCAAACTTCACTGCATCCTGATTCCTGATACATCTGGCGTACCTACCGGAAACCTTACTGTGACTGTGTGCGCTTGTGGTCTTCCAGATTTGCAGTAATTTTGAAGTAATTTCTTAAATGCAATAATTTCAATACAAATGTGTTGGCAAGATCTTCTGAAGACTTAAATTTTCTGCTGATGCATCGCCAAATATATTTTGATATTCACCCATTTCTGCACCCTGGAATTTGGGTAAATGCCATTGGTGATTGGAAATAATTGTTAATTAATTAATTAATTGTTAATTGATTAAGTAATTGTTAATTGATTAATTAATTGTTAATTGATTAAGTAATTGTTAATTGATTAATTAATTGTTAAAATCTCTGTTCACAGGCATTTTTGTCTCGTATACCGGTAGCTTCTGCCTGATTTTCTACTTGGCCTTATCATTGCATGTAACATATAGTGACAAACCAGGGATTTTTTAGAATCAGTTCATTTTTAATTTCCTTGTTTACTAAAGATTTAAACCAATTTCTTGTGTGGGATAATGCTGGTATCCATGATACTTAACTGGTCTACTTGTGTCTTATAGGTCTACTATACTCTATAGCACTCAAAAATGAATGTGAGGAAGGGTCTTAAAATTTTTTAAACCTTCTGCTTTGCCACGTCACATTGTGATGCAAGGCTGTGGGGCCTGAGGCCCTAGCCTAGCCAAAAATTTGCTATTAAAATATGGTATTACAGATTACAGAACATTTTAAATTTTAAATCTAATTCTGAAAAATCACCTGTGAAATGATTATTTTGCTTTTAATTTTTGTAATGCCACAATTCAGAGTGGCAAAGGAGAACATTTTTTGTTGTCCTTCTTCAAGTTCATTATTTAGTGCTACCATAAGTCCTCTACTAGAAAGTCTCTTGGATACCAACATTATCATACATAAGAAATTGATTAAAATATTGAGTAGACGAGGAAATTGAAAATGAACTGATTTTAAAAAATCTCTGGTTTGCCACTATAAATTGCTGATTAGCATCCATGAAATGTATTTAGTACTTTCAAGCTTGCACCCCAAAGATAAAAATTGTGCAAAAGCCACCGGCACCTGTGAGTCTGACTAGAAGGCTGGCAAATCTGGCCAATGATATCCGTTTCTATGGCTGATTGTTTCCTCAATATTATCCTTTTCCTAATTTCTTCAATAAAAATGAGAAAAATGGCCTTTTTACCACATTTAAAAAAAATTGCCCCTGAAATGATGGTTTTTACCTAGAATTTCTTGTAGGTACTTACTTATGTCTTGTTGCCTAATATAGGTAGTTCAAAATTTTGTTCTAACTCTAGAATTCTGTGTGAGTTAACACTGGGAACACAATGTCTCAACAGGAAGGTACAGTCAAGCATCTCTTGTTTGCATCCATGCAATGAATGCCAAATCTTTTCTGGTTTAAATATTGTCTTCCATGGCTTAAAAATGGATTCACCACTTGAAAGCAAATCTAAGGGTTTGAAATTTATTTTTTGGCTGCAAATTCTATAACATGGCTCCACAATTTTGTTGTGGCTTTGAGAATCTACACATGCTAAATTGCTCATCACATGCTAAATTGCACATCACATGCTAAATTGCTCATCACATGCTAAATTGCACATCACATGCTAAATTGCACATCACATGCTACATTGCTCATCACATGCTACATTGCTCATCACATGCTAAATTGCTCATCACATGCTAAATTGCTCATCACATGCTAAATTGCTCATCACATGCTAAATTGCTCATAAAGCAAAGAAAATTAATGTGCTAGTTTTGTCTTTATTTCTGCGTTGATACCTATGGGATATCAGCAATATAATAGAAAGAGGACTAACCTAAATTAACCTAGACATTAACCTCTAGGCATGTCATAGTGACCTGGTTATTGAAATGAGTCTCTTGGAAGTGATCCTGAAGAACCATTGCATTTACTAATAGATTTACAAGTATAGAAGCAAATAAACTTGTCCCTTATTAAAGCAATGAATTCATCAAGTCTTTATTCCAGGAGATGCTGAGTAAAAACTTCTGGGCAATCCTGCAAGTGACAGCAAAAGGTGAAGAGTAGCAGTTTGGTGTGCTCTTGGCACCAAGATCAACGTTACCCATGGACCCGGTCCCAGGACGTAGCGTCTATCTTGTGGTTGAGACTTCAGGGGGTGCCCCAAATCAGTCCAGTGAAGCTGCGCTGCAGATTCCAGTGTCTAGCGTTCCACAACACACATCCATTCAGGTTGTTTATCCAGCAACTGTAATGCTCATGCCCAATCAGTCCATTGTAACTGGCCAGTCCATAGTGCCCACTCAGTCCATTGTGCCCACTCAGTCCATGCTTTCTCAGTCCTCGATCCCTACTCAGACCATAACTACTCGAGCCATCCTACCCAAACAGTCCATCATGTCCACTTCATCCAATATGCCCACTAAATCCAGTGACTCACTGGGAGATAAACTTCCCCAGTACAATGATCTATTGGATGCTCTACTCCCCGAGTCCAGTGATCCACTGGATGACCCACTCCCCCAGTCCAGCGATCCACTGGATGACCCACTGACCCTGTCCAGTGATCCATTAGATGATACTATCCCCCAGTCCAGTAATCCATTGGATAATCCAATCCCTCAATCCAGTAATCTATTGGATGATCCACCCACTCAGTCCAGTGATCCAGCAGTTGGCAGTCCAGCGCACACCCCCGAAGAAGTTGTAATTTGTGACTACAAAATGGAAGAGACGACGTCTCAAGAAATCAAGTTGGAACCGCAGGACGATGACAGCAAACATTGCGGTGCTCAAGTGGGTTTATTCTAAGAGTTTTTTCACTGACTGGTTCTTTTTAAGGCAGAGTCTATAGGATAACGATAAGAGTCTATAGGATAATGATAAGAGTCTATAGGATAAGATTCATTATGGCTACAACTTTATAGGATAAGATTCATTATGGCCCAGATTTCAAAACCATGTATATACCTCCTAGCAGTCAAATATTATGTCAACACCCCAGCTTCCACTCTCCCCTCCCCAGCTTCCACTCTCCCCTCCCCAGCTTCCACTCTCCCCTCCCCAGCTTCCACTCTCCCCTCCCCATAGGCAAATAAAACATAGCTTCATATCGGCATCTCTAGGTTATAGGATGGCGTGTTATGCTTCCATCATAATCAATAATCGTCATAAAATCAATAATCATAAAAATCTATTTAAATCAATATCAAATATTTATTATAATAGTTCATTTTGTATCCATGTTGTTGTACAGACGCTGATGGCAGGCGATGTGCAGGTCAAAGAAGAAGCAAACGTCATGGAAGACATCGCAGCCATGCATCAGTTCTATGCGTCTGAACGCTTATTTGACAGTAATACAAGTATATAAATACAAGTATATAAATACAAGTATATAAATACAAGTATATAAATACAAGTATATAAATACAAGTATATAATAATAATAACATGTTTAATAAGTTAGTGGTGCAGGCTTTGGTTAGGTCATGTTGGTGTCACCGATTCTTAACCTCCCAGCGACTTGACCACAATTTTTACAACTAAATGTGGGTCTCAAACCCCCAACTCGCTGCTCCAACTTAACTGGTTGACCGCACATAGCTCAATGTTATTTATGCATTACTGCTATAATATTTTATTGTTATTTTTATATTTCTATTTCATACGTTTTGGCCATATTTTGACTTATCTTTACTTGCTCTGAGCTTCACAGTGTTTTTGTGTGTAGTTCTCAAACTCTTAACTAGCTTTTCCAATTTTGGTGAACCTAACTATTTGACTAAACATAGCTCAATATCAGTAATGTTATTTATGCACTAGTGATTTCACTAGTGCACTAGTTTATTCTTTATTTTATATTTTGATTTGCTCTGAGGTTCACCGTGTTTTTTTGTGTGTGGTTCTCAAACACTTAACTAGCTTTTCCAATATTGGTGCACTTATCTATTTGACTAAACATGGCTCAATATCAGTAATGTTATTTATGCACTAGTGATTTAATATTTTATTCTTCATTTCATATTTTGATTTGTTTTTGTTATTTGTTTACGTGGTCGTTTTTGTGTGCAGGCTTCCCGCCGGTGGGGGCAGCAAGCTGCGGGGGCGACTGTGAGGGTAATGTTGTTATTGTAATGTTGTTATTATCTTATTATTATTATTATTATTGTTATTGTATTATTGTAATGTTATTATTGTATTATTATTATTGTAATAATATTAGTTGTTATCATAGACATTAGACATAGACATTATCAGGTAATTAGGTACAAGTGTCACTTACTGACAATCTCATTATTATATAATCATTATTAGTTGTTATCATAAACATAATCAAGTAATTAGGTACAAAGTACCTATCATCACTGGAATATGCAGGAAACTGAGTGTATAACTCAGTATATTTATGTTCCTCCTACACATGTAGTCGTGTCCCAGTGTGTTTAATGTATACAGTGTGCCCAGTATACACTGTGCGGCCAGTATACACAGTGTGCCCAGTATACACAGTGTACCAGTATACACAGTGTGCCCAGTATACACAGTGTGGTACCAGTATACTGACGTGCCCCCTGTACTCCAGGTGGGGGGCTGCAGAAGATAGAGGGGCGCAGGTTCTCGACGCTGTATTTCTCTAATGTATACAGTGTACCCAGTACACCCAGTATAGCAGTATACTGACGTGCCCCCTGTACTCCAGGTGGGGGGCTGCAGAAGATAGAGGGGCGCAGGTTCTCGACGCTGTATTTCTCTAATGTATACAGTGTACCCAGTACACCCATACAGTGTGCCCAGTATACACTGTGCGGCCAGTACACCCAGTATGCCAGTATACTGACGTGCCCCCTGTACTCCAGGTGGGGGGCTGCAGAAGATAGAGGGGCGCAGGTTCTCGACGCTGTATTTCTCCCGCGCGGCGCCAGAGTTTGTCTACACACTGCACAACACGCGCAACGGCAAGAGCTACTTCTCCTGTACCAGCAGGTACACTGCACCAGCAGGTACACTGCTGTACCAGCAGGTACACTGCACCAGCAGGTACACTGCTGCACCAGCAGGTACACTGCACCAGCAGGTACACTGCACCAGCAGGTACACTGCACCAGCATGTATGGGGAGCGTAACCCCTTGTTATTCCTCATAGGGTTCATTTTTCAGGTTCACACTGTTCCCCAACCCCTAGTGTAAAGATCCTTGTTGTAGGTCTCTATAATTATAATAATAATTAATAATAATAATGGTTTCAGCGTTTATTAGGCCGGAGGCCTGGTCTCCGATTCATAACATCGCAGAACATTCACAGCTTGTTGCGGTCTCGAACCCGCAACTCACTGCTCCAATCCTGGTACTCTGGGGCCGGATTATCAAAGCTTCGTAACTTTTTGTACTTACGACAAAAAAGTTCTGTGGTACGTAAATACACCCTAATTTTGGCATTATCAAATCTTTCGTACGCAAGTCTTAGCTAAAAACCTAAATTTTTTTCCCGCGCAAATGGTATATAATACCACCGCTAGTATTACGTTGTCATAGCAACGCCATTCGTAAGTCGATTTTGCGTACTTACGAAGTTTTGATAATACGGCCCCTGAACTGTAACAACTGGGCCACCCTTACCTTAAGATCGTAGAGCACAGTAAATGAACATTCGGTTTCGCAGGTGCTTACTGACCGGTTTCTGGAAATCAATACAAAAACATAGCATAAAAAATAAATTGAAAAAATCCTATATATTATGACAATATTCATAGTCATAGCAACTCAGTAAAATAAGCAGGTAAATCTTACCAAATTACTGAGAGTTCGGCACGGGCATATAGTTCAGCTGACAGACGACTAATAAATGACTTGGAGAATACAAGAAAACTTGTATTAATTTATTATTAATTTTGATTATTATTCTATAATAATATGAGGCTTAAATATATACCAGTACCGCTTATAAATAATGAATAAATGTTACATATTATATAAATGATTATATTATAATTATATATTATATTATTTATAAATAATGTTGTTCTGCTGCCTGATGGCCCCACTGACATGTGTTGTTCTGCTGCCTGATGGCCCCACTGACATGTGTTGTTCTACTGAATGATGGCCCCACTGACATGTGTTGTTCCTGTCTCTTATACACATCTAGATGTGTATAAGAGACAGACACTGCTGCACCAGCAGGTACACTGCACCAGCAGGTACACTGCTGCAGCNGTGTTGTCCCCACTGACCCGTGTTGTCCCCACTGACCCGTGTTGTCCCCACTGACCCGTGTTGTCCCCACTGACCCGTGTTGTCCCCACTGACCCGTGTTGTCCCCACTGACCCGTGTTGTCCCCACTGACTCGTGTTGTCCCCACTGACCCGTGTTGTCCCCACTGACCCGTGTTACCCCGCAGGGGCTGCGTGGTGAGGGGGCGCTGTGAGGACCTGGACCAGGTGTTCGGGGAGGACCTGGGGCGCGGCTTCGTCACCAAGAACCACCACAACCACATCGGCGACGCGTCCATCGTCGCCAACCTCAGGTTCTCCTCCGCCTGCAAGCGCCGGGCCGCCGGCGAGCCCACCGCCATCAGGAGGATATACGACGAGGAGAAGGCCAGGTAAGCTGGGCCCTGGGTGCTGCTGGGCCCTGGGTGCTGCTGGGCCCTGGGTGCTGCTGGGCCCTGGGTGCTGCTGGGCCCTGGGTGCTGCTGGGCCCTGGGTGCTGCTGGGTCCTGGGTGCTGCT